AGATGAGATCACTCATCAATAAGTATGGCCAAATCCAGTAAACTAGTTTTCCTTTTAATTAAAATAGAACATACAGGTAGAAAAGTACAAAAATATAAATTTACAGCTCAATTAATTACCAGAAGACAAAGACATTTATATAACGACTGTCCAAGTCAAGAAATATTAATAGAATATTACCAGCACCTAAGAAATTCCCCTTGGACCCACCCCTTCCAATCTATATCCATACCTCCCTCTTCCCCAGATGATTATTATTCTGTTTTTTAATGGCATTCTTTGGTTCTGCCTGGTTTGAAACTTTGTAAAAATGGAATTACCCAATAGATATTCTTTTGAAACAGGTTTTTTTCACTTAACACTTCGTGAGATTTATCTATTCTGTTCGTATAGCTGTGATTTATGTTCATTGCTATATATTCCACTATATGAATATATCACAATGTATTTGAATCATTGAGTTTTCAGTCTTGGGTGATTATAAAGAAAATCACTATGATTGTTCTTATACATGTCTCTTGGTACATATGTGCATACATTTCTGTTGGGTTATTCCCAAGATTGTAATTGTTAGGTCATAGATTATGTGTTTGTTTAACTGTAGTAGATAAAGTTTTTTTTTTCAAAGCACATTTATCATTTTATATTCCCATGAGCAGTACATGAGAACAGTTACTATATATCCTTGCCAGCACTTGTTATTAGTTTTTAAAATTTTAGCCACTTGGTGTGTAAGTTTATCATTGTGGTTTTAATTTACATTTTCTAAATGATTAATGATTTGAGTGCTTTTTTATATTTTTATAGGCCATTTTGATGTCTTTTGTGAAGTGCCAGTTCAAATCTCTTGCTGTTCCTCCCTCCCTTTCTCCTGTGTCTCTTTCACGCTTTCTCTTTCCTCCTTCTTTCCTTCCTCTCTCTCTCATTTCTTTATTGATTTATATTTTTTTTTTGCAGGAATGTTCTGTATGTGGAACCTTTTTCAGTTATATGTGTTATAAATATCTTAGAAATAAGATGTGTCTTGTTTTTGAAAGTCTCAGTCATATCTTTTGATGAATAGAATTCTTAATTTCACTGTAGTTCAATTAGTCTTTTCCTGTATTATTTTTGGTTTTGTTTTGTTTTATTTTTGTTTTTGTATCCTGAGAAGCTTTTCCCTATGCCAAGGTCAAGAAGATTTTTTTTTTTATGTTATTTCCTAGCAAAAAAGTTTCTTTTTCTTCCAGATGAGTATCCAATTGACCTAGCACTGTTTGTTGAAAAGATTTTTCTTTCCCCAAAGTGACATGCATTGCCAATTTTGTTATAAATCAAGTGTCCACATACATATGGGTCAGTTTCTGGGCACTCTGTTCTTTTTCTTTGATCTAATTATTAGTCCTTATACCAGTGCTATGCTCTTTAATTATTCTAAGTCTTAACATCCAGTTAAACAGCTTTTCCCACTTATCCTTCCTCCAGAATGTCTTGGCTAATCTTGACCTTCGGTATTTACATAGAAATTTTGAAATCAGAATTCATCAATTTCCACTAAACCTTCACCCCCCTTCCACCTCCTCCAAAAAACCAAAAAACAACCCGGGCATTGATATCTTTACAATATTAAATTCCATGATCTCCCAGCAGGATATATCCCTCCATTTATTTAGGTTGACTTTAAATACTCTCAGTAATTTATATATGTGTGTGTATAGTGTTGTTCATCCCTCATTAGATTTATTCCTTGGTATTGATATTTTTAATGCTCTCATAAAGTTTTTTAAAAATTTAATTGCCGGCTGGGCACGGTGGCTCACGCCTGCAATTCTAGCTCTCTGGGAGGCCGAGGCGGGCGGATTGTTTGAGCTCAGGAGTTC